TATAATATAATATAATATAATATAATATAATATAATATAATATAATATAATATAATATAATATAATATAATATAATATAATATAATATAAATTATGTAATCTAATCTAATATCACAGAAATATTTTGTGTTCTTTGAAGTTAGATTACTTTTGTTGTTCACTCCCTTAGAGCCAGTATTAGCTACACTGAGTAATGCCCTACTCAGGAAACAGTTCTGTTGCAACAGATTTATGACAGACTGGTCTGGCAGTAGCTGCTGATGTGTTTCAGCATATCTGTTTGATTACTGTACACTGCCATCTGGTAGTTCCTTTGCTTTCCTTCTCTCTATTTATTTAATTTATTTACTGTTGTTTCTATTTGAAGATAATTTGAGACAAATATTTTTTCATTTGCCCTTAATATTTTAACCTGAACCTCTGGCCTATAGTTAGTACAAATACAAAACTGGGTTCATAAACTATCTCATTTGCATGTAGCCATAGTTAAAAATAATTTATTCTCATCATTTCTTTGATAGCTTAAAAGATTTCTATTTGCTGCTTGCTAATTGCAGAACAATAGCACCACAATTTGGTGACAAAATGTCTCCAGAAATGGCCAATTCACTTCTTGATAATACCCTGAGTGTTGACAATGAGAAAAATTTCTTATTCTAGTATCTTTGATGGTTTGTGCTCCATTATATCAAATAAAAGCTTTTCTGAATCTCAAAAATGTAAGATAATGGGATAAATTCTCCAATTTAAGTACAGTCATACTTCTTGAAAGGGTGGAATAACAAAACATGATGATAATAATAATAATAATAATAATAATAATAATAATAATTTAACAGCACAAGTTTTACTCACGGACAGGTAAGGTCTGAAAGATCTCAATTTTGCTGTACTCTCCTTGCCCTTTTCCATTTACAGCAGCTACTTTGATTTCATAGGTTGTATTTGGTTCCAAATTGCTCAGAACAACCATAGCTAAAGGGAAAAAAAAAGAATAAAACTTGATGAACTAATAAATTTATAAAAAGAAAAGTAAGACAAATTCATAATTTGCTTTCTTCTTTTGTAAATAATGAGCCTCATATTCCGACAGTACATTGGTTTTATCACAGTACATCAGCTTTTTTGTTGAGTGCTAGTAGTCCCTTTTTTCATCGGCATAAAATCATTGTTGTGACCGAGCAAGCTAAATTTCTGAAGGAACAGTGAAATCAGTGTTGGGCAACAATTAAGGACCTCGATGGGGAGCAGTATCTTATATTCAAATTGGGTTTGCACACCCAGGTTTTGGGTAGCAGGGCTGCTGCAGGGGTGGCTTCTCTTAGAAGGTTCCAGAAGCTTCTCCCATGTCTGACAGAGCCAATCCCAGCTGGCTCCAGTCTGGACCCACTGCTGGCCAGGCCTGAGCCCATCAGTGACTGCAGCCTTCTGTGATAACGTATTTAAGAAGGAAAAAAGTTATTGTGCAGGTGTATTTGTGGCCAGAGAAGAGCAGGATGAGGATGTGAGAGGAACAGACCTGCAGACACCTGAGTGAGTGCAGAAGGAGGGGCAGGAGGTGCTCCAGAACTGAGATTCCCCTCAAGTAATCTTGCCCATGGTACGGGATGCAGCTGTGTCCCTACAGCCCATGGGAGACCATGGGGATGCAGAATTCCACCTGCAGCCCATGGAAGAGGCACACACCAGAGCAGATGGATGCAGAGAGAGAGCTTTTACCCTGTGAAAAGCCTGTGCTGGAACAGCCTCCTGGTAGGTACCTGCACACCCATTCCAGAGGCCCATGCTGGAGCAGCTTTCCTGGTAGGATTTGTCACCCTGTGGGGGAACCACACTGAAGCAGCCTGTCCCTAAAGAATTGATCCTGGGGAAGAGTGATCCACACTGGAGAAGTTAATGGAGAAATTTTGTCCGTGGGATGGACTCAGTTTGGTGCAGTTCATGGAGAACTGTTTCCTACGGGAGGGACCCTGTGCTGGATAAGGGGAAGGACTCCACTCCTTGAACAGCAGCGGGAACAACATGTGATGATCTCCTTTTATGACCAGGTGACCCACCTGGTGGATGCAGGAAAGGCTGTGGATGTTGTGTGCCTGGACTTCAGCAAGGCCTTTGCCACTGTGTCCCACAGCACACCCCGGAAAAGCTGCAGCCCAGGGCTTGGACAGGAGCCCTCTGTGCTGGGTTAGGAACTGGCTGCATGGCCGGGCCCAGAGAGTGCTGGTGAGGGTGCTGCATCCAGCTGGGGGCAGCCACCAGGTGTGTCCTCAGGGCTCTGTGTGGGGCCTGTACTGTTCAATGTTTTTATTGATGACATGGATGAGGGGATTGAGTCTATGGTTAGTAAATTTGCAGATGGGAGCATGTGTCAATCTGTTGGAAGGAAGGAGGGCTCTGCAGAGAGACTTGGATGGGTTGGGTGGATGGGCAGAGTCCAATAAGATGAAGTTTAATAAGTCCAAGTGCCAAGTCCTGCAGTTTGACCACAATAACCCCTTGCAGCATCATAGGCTGGGGACACTGCAGTTGGACAGTGCCCAGGCAGAAAGGGCCCTGGGGGCACTGGCTGACATGAACATGAGCCAGCAGTGTGCCCTGGGGGCCAAGAAGGACAAAGGCTCCTGGCCTGTGTCAGGAACAGTGTGGCCAGCAGGAGCAGGGAGGTCATTCTGCCCCTGCCCTTGGCAAGTGGTTGTAGAAATGTAACATCTTAAAAAAGAGCCAGTAGTATCTTTCACAGTCCCTAGGGAGCCTAATTTTTTTTCATTAAACCGAAGGATTTTTTTAGTTGCTTTAGGCCTTCAAGTCATATATCCAATGAAAGCATAATTATTTCTGTCCATACTCTTTGTTATTCTTTTCAGTGCAGATTTATTAGAATTTCTACTTCTTTAGTTTCTACAGCAGTCCGACAGAGTTCCCATTAAATGAGAAGCTAAAGGATTTAATGAATTTGGGAAAAGAGTAACTTCTACATTTCACACTCTATTATGGGCATTTTGCATGAATTTGTCATTGAAACATAATTGTTTTCTTGTAAATTGAGCAGTAGAATTGTATGTCTTCCAGCATGTTTTAGCTTTACCATTTTATGAGATTTAAAAATACTGAACTCTCAAGTATAATCATGTCATGAAAAAATAATGTACCATCATGAGAATAAGAATAGAATTAGGAGATATATCACTGAGTTCTGTTAAGATGAAATTTAAAACTTAACTAAGCAGTAGCAGTATTTGACTTGCCTTTCAGCCATGATTACTTTCCAAGGATGAATAATTTCACTGAAAAGAAACCTTAGGGCATACCAAATATTAGTGCTACTGTAAATGTTTTTAAAATTTAAACAACATTAAAGCACAACTAGGAGTCTACATTTAGAAAAATGCAAATGTGTTAACTACATGAAACCTAAGGATCCAATTTTATAAGAACCCCTGGGACCTATAGAAATGAATAAAATTTCTTATATATGTAGTATTTAAAGAATCATATATACTTTATATACTTTATAAATATATATATTTTCATATAAATAATTTAGAATCCCCTGCACAGCACTATATATCTAGACACAATGACTTTTGCAATTACATTTGTGGAATTAACCCAGACATATCTGTTACCATAATATGTCCTCAAAAACTGGACTCAGTATCAGTGATGGTGTGAGGTGCATATATTAAATATGTAGGAAAAAATAATAACTGTGGCCTTCTGAAAACAAAGAACCATTCTGGATTAGAATACATACTCCATTTGTAAAAGAATACTTGGAGTAATTAAGATTAAGAAGTTGTCACAAAGAGTGTAGTAAAAGTGCAGGACTGAAGATTAATCTAAGAGAAATGAAAATTTCACTGCTTGCTAGGAGTTGAGATTGGAAGCAAATACTTCATAAATTAGTTAAGTTTCTTTTTGTAATGTCTGTTTCTGTTATTTAAGTATAAAATCAGCTTATTTATCTTTCCATATACAAATAATTTTTTCTCACATGAAAATAGCCCTGGGCACAATGGATATTTTTTTATTTCTTTCACATTTAGTGCATAAATGTGAAAAGAACCAGTCCACTGCATACCATATATTTACATTATGGCACTGGCATAATTATTGATGGATATCAAGTTCCAGACATACTGAATGTGAAATGCCTTTCTTTCAGAGTATCACAGGAGATTTTCCAGTTTCTTCTGGCTGTTTATCAGTAGACAGTGTCTTTCTAATCACAGTATCTGTGAGTTTTAACTGGATAATTCAATTTTGTGGATTGATTTTGCCGGGATAATTCACATAGTGACTAGTTAGATTGAGGAGTAGATTTGGAAGGAATACTCCAAAGAGGGAAAAGCAGAGCAGTCACTTGTGAGCTCTCCAAATTAAATAAATTATCTAATTTAAGTTTGTTAATTAATAAATTAACATGGTGCACAACAGCTCAGAGCTTAGTGTTATCCATTTATAAGTGAGGCTTTAGGTCTCAAGGTAGCCTTGGAGGACAATATGACACAAGAAATTACCAGGTATATTGGTTTTTGTTTAGTACGCTATATTAAGGCTTTAATACAAAATTATTAATACTTTTTGACGAGATATGTCACAATGTTGCTAGTTTGTTTTTTTATTTTTTCAAACAGAAGTTAAAAAGAAACACAACAATAGAATATAATTAAATTTTACTTAATAAAATTTAAGTTTAACCTATTATGTGATAATAGGTTGATCCTAAAGTTTAAGCAACATTAAGTATAAAGTCTGTCTTTTTATTATACAGATTCTGGTAATTTGCAAATAAATCTAATAAACTGAAAAAAATTAACTCAGTACAGAAAAAACCCACAGAAATATGTTAGAAAAAAATTGAGAACTTCATACTATTTAAAATACAGCTTGCAAGCATTTCATCTAGAAAACTTCCTTTTATTGTCTCAGAATTTTAACTGCTGTCAAAATGAACCATGGAAAAGCAGCATCTAACACAAGATTTGTTGTGAAATAAATTGTACCATAAATCCAAGTCAGTAAAACTGAAACAAAATTCCCCAGCTGCTTCTCTGGTCCAGGGTAGGTTGTTTATGTTACTTTATTACAGCAGAATGAGAGGAAAGATGTCTGGCATATTAAATTGTCTTTTCACTGAAGTAATCTGCCTCAGAAACCTTCTAAGAATTGTGATATATTACATAAACCATCACCAAGGAAAAGAAGGTTAAGGGAGCTTGCAGTACAGTTCCTCTACATTAATCCCAAAGTGGATCTCATATGAGGTTAATTAACAGAAAAACCACATTGTTCCATTGCTCTCATTGGAGAGGTATCTGCTGCAGAGAACAATGTTATTCCAGTTCCAAATTAAATCCCCTGAGGATGTCAGATCTAACTGAAGAAGGACATAAATTTATTTTGAAACAAAGTAGCTGAGACACTGTTGCTGAAACAACATCTTCACTCCTATATATGTGGGATTGTGGTGGCAGAGTGAAATTTATGTCAAAGAAGCATTAAAAATTTGAGGATGGTTTGGGTTTTTTCTTACTTCTCTCCCTTTAATCTGAATCTATATCACTGCAGAGGATGTGTGCAGCCTGACTACTGTGCATGTTAATGAGTGGAGTGTTTTGATTTAACAGCACTTTGCTGCACCTATTACTCATTATTTTACTACTCCCAAGGAAACACCGAGTCCCCTGGAAATACCTGAATCTCTTTCAGAGTCAAAGAAAAATGAATAGCATTTTTATGAAGCTTAAACAGGTTTGTGATGATGATTCATGTTCTTTTAAGGGCAGGAGAAAAAGTGATGGGAAGACAGCAGTGAGAAACTTGAGGTGATAAAGTAATAATGTTCTGTACAAATGTCTGAGACTCCTGTAGATGTCACAGAATATGAGGAACTTTGCCCAAAATCTGTCTGCCTGGGATGAGCAACAACTGTTTTGTTTATTCTATGTGTTTGCACAGTAGGAGGAAGAGTA